AAAGATTGAAAGCATCTTCAATAGTGTATGAAAAATAGATAACTACCACTGACCTGTATTTTACGTCAGTGGCAACTACGCTGTCGTATTTTATACACAAAGCTCAGAAATACGAAGATCAATGGTTGTAACTAGCTTTTCAAATTGAACATGTATTACAATTTAATCCCCAGGGGGATATCAACTCACCTGAATATAGCGGATACGTGCATTACATAAATCAAATTGCATTTCTACAGTTCAAGCTTGACACGTGTCTGCTGAAATTTATCTATAATGTATCATGCAATGCATTTCTGCTGCAATACACTATATTTCCAAAGATGACAGAGTGCTCGGTACAACGAATTGTCGGAGCAGAGGTAATTTCTTTTGACACAAACATATCTGAACCACATTTCCGCTATTTACAAAATTGTAATTAGAGTTCGGGAAAAGGACTCAGTAAGTCTCAGAAATGGTTCCATTATACAGGGTGCCCACTGTGCATGAAATATAGTAAATATCTCCGTAAATATCGTCTGTATAAAAAGATTGTTTAACATTTCCCATACTAAGACAGCATTCCATTTTATTTCAGAAAACAAATGAATAACGAAAAACAATTGAATTTTTGATTAATAGCAATGCACACTTTTATTAGGCTCATTTGATAGAGTTTTTTTTCTCTTTTCTATGACGTAACACGTTAGCACCCGTGTAGAAGAAATTAATTTTTATTTCAAGCTTTTTGTGATAGACTATGCAACTGTGTGCCCAGTGTGACTGTGACATAGAGAGCAATATAGAAACCTTCAAGTAACTGCAACAGGTTTGCATATTAAGGGGGTGCACTTTTCCTCCCCCTTGCAATACAATATTGACTTTCCAAAACTGAAATTTTTTACCAAATTCTGCAAATGACCCACAAACTAGATCAATTTCCGTGAATTATCCTTAATTTAAATCCAAAGATAATAACAAAACAACGTCAAAACGCTTTGAACTCCATTTACTTGGAAATTTACTTTTTTAAAATAAAAAGAACTTTAAAAGAAAAACTAATTCTTTGTATCATATAAACGGATTCAATTTTCCCAAAGATTGCTATCTTTAAGAACGCTCAAATACGAATTTTACTTGAGAATTTCTCGTTTTGCAGGAAATGATTCAATTTCAGTCTCTATTTCCCGAACTATATAGGAACTGTAGATCGAAAATCCTAAGCTACCTAAAATGAGCACCTAAGTTCCTCAACAACCTCTCTCCTCAAACAATTAATTGTTTGACGTTTTCTTCGTTTGACTTTTAAAAGGGCTCCCGTTGCAGTATCTACAGGATATAGCTAATTTATACATATTTTGAAAGATAATTTAGTTCTAAAGTACAAAATCGTTACTATTCCCAATTAATTAGTAAAATGTCAGTCGGAACTTTAGTATTCAGCGTGATCTTCAATGAAACAGGTTCACAAATGTGTCTTATAAAGGCGTAGACAAAAATACTCATGGAATCGATGTCTTATTGAATATCATCATATTGTGTGTGTGTGTGTGACGGTTTGAAAGGACAATCAGAGTAATCTTTCCAATTCGAGTAACACGATCTTATATTCCTGCCATCTTAAAATAATTGGTACCCCTATAGCTAAGAAGCATTTTTGTATAATTTCCCTCTAAACATACAATTATTGTTAAAAGTCGCATGTTACATAAAAAACTGAAGCTTTACTTGAAAAATTTCAAATTATAAAAACTGTAAACTAATTTCTAGGACATTTATTCTCACTTACATCGTATGGCATGTAAAATTACAAATCCATACGTGTGGGAAGTGAATTCTATGCGATATTTAACACCTTCCAACTGTATAGGCCTTTCAGACGACATCGACGTGGGATCTTTTAAGATCGTAGATTTGCTCAAGCTGAAAGGTTCGGGAATTTCATTGAACGATAAGTGCCGTGTACCAAAACACGTGCCAGTCGCTTTCATTTGGGAATTTCTTTTTTGTGGACCGAAACTTATTTGCAGAAGGTTATAGGGGCATTAACAATCTGAGTAGCTCTAAAACTTTCTGTCTATACAATGTTGAGAAACTTACAAGAAGGAAGGTAAAAGGCTAAACTTTTAGATAGTCCTCAATAGCGCCCAAACCTTTTGTAATAGGGGTAGTAAAATTAAGAAAATTAATGTTTCTATTCCAAAAGAGGAATTCATGTTTGCACAATGATCTTTAAGCGGCTCGAATTAATTTAAAAAATATTTGGGACTACGTGCTACGCGATACCCTCATAATCCCAAAGAAGAAATAACCTTTATTTGTTACGCCCAGATTATTTAATTTCATGCGTAAAGTAATTCCCTTAGAACCCTTTTAGGCTATGTATTTAAATTGTAGGTATGGCGATAATTAAGGTTTATTGAATAGTTCCATTTTTATCTCCCATTGGTATGACCTCTGGAATCTAATAGTTGTAGGGACGTCAGTTAATAGTTCCCGTAAAACTTGTTAGTGGTTCTGTGACAAAATGGAGCTTTCTCGTGAAAATTGTTGGCTTTGAAATAGGTTTTCCCATTTCATAAGGTTGAAACACTTAGTTCGTCCTTTACCTACCTTAACTTCCACTTTCCTATCTGAATTTTGTTTAATGAAATTTTACAATAATTCCCGGCTGGAATGAAATGAAATTACTTTAATTATTGCAAGGAAATGAATGGAGAAACGGCTCCTTTCCTTTTTCACTTGAAACTTTAATTTTGGTTTTGATTACAATAATAACAATTTCAACGTGATATTCGCGTAAATTTATTGATAAAATCAAACTCAATCCAGCTCCACTCCTTCACAAAACGTTCGCTTTAACATTATCTAGATAAGCCTTCTCCCTTTTTATCAATTTTTAAATCCGTGATTACGTTTGCTAACCCTAAATCTTTTTAATTCTTAGTAATGAAACAAATATTCAAAATACAAATTGATATACAATTTGGGCTATCATTCCGCAATTTTGACGGTTTTAGCGAGTGAAATTGTCATTGCAGTTATTCCCGTGCAGATTCTTTTGGTTAGCAAACGTCAAAAATGAATTCGCGGTTAAACATTAAGAACACTGCCTTCGATGTATCCCTTTGAGAGTGGAGGAAATATTTCTCCAGTTGAGCGAAAGAAAGAAGGCGAATGAAAAACAAGCAGCACGTAAATTGGAATGAACCACAGACGGAATATGTTGCGAACAAGAATCGCCCGCAATGTTTAGATTTACGCAAAATTAAGTTCGTTAAAGAAAAGTGCGGTGGAAAATCTGCGAAAACTGAATTGAGCTGGGGCTTGGAAGTAAAAAAAATTCGTTTACAACTATGGAAAGCGGTAGAACCAAATTCCCAGTCATCCTAGCGCGTTGAATGATCCAGAGCCAATCGTAATTCTCACAAGTTTCATCCAACCGTATACGCGTACTAGCGCATCGGTAAAAGGATACAGTGTGTAAATGTGAGGGTATACTTACAGAAAAGCGCAAAGCTTTCATCGTTCGCAACAAACGACTGCTCTTTAAGTGGACCATTGACTGATACTTTGGAAAAAGTGCTGCAATTCACTTCGAACTTCCAGAAATAGTTTCACACTTTAAAACGTTTTAATTATAGACGTCCGTCGTAAATTCAGTTCATCAAAGGGCAAAAAATTTTACTACCACTTCTTTTTAATTGCGAGCAGTTTCCGTTATAATAACGTCGATAGTGTGCTCAAGTTTCTGTCGTTAATTACCATTGAGCACCTACTTGTAATTTCCGGAAATAGTCGAATTTCAGTTTTCGAGATCTCGTGTCAGGTTTCTAATCAGCTACTGCCTCTTCACTGACGGTGCTAATAGAATGTGTCTGTCATTCTCGGTTGTCTTGCAACGTATCGGGATTAAGTAAAAAACTTCGATTAATCCCTCCGTTTGAAGGAACGTTTTAAGTTGTTTAGAGGTAATTAATTAAGGGCAATGTTGGTAAATTTCATAATGGCGTAAGTGGCAGTCATCCTTTTGAGCATTTTGAGTGCATGTCAAGAAAATAAATCGATCCACGCTGATGTGAAAGAAATGGAAAAATCAAAGAAAAACACTAAATTGGGAAGCTAAGGAACATCTTGTTGATTTTCAAGAATTCCCATCAGTTCCAGAGAAACCCAGCATAAAATCCAGCAGTTGTCAGTTGACCAGAGGAATAAAGGTTTATCAATTTAGAAGTGGATTTAATAACGTAATACATGGTAAACGTGTTTCCAGTATCTAAGTATAATTTGACCAAACTATATCAATTCGAAGCAAAAAGTGTTCTATACATTTTTTTGGAAAGTTAATACTTCTCCAGTTATTCGCGACCGAAAGTACAAGATTTTCATAAAAACGACCGATGTTTTTAATTTTGGTTATTCGCGAAAAACTCGAAAAGTATGCATTTTATTAATAGAAACTGTGGAGAACAATCTCATAGCTTTTAACAAAACAAAGAAAATTGTTTTGTTAATAATTGCTGTATGACCAATACGAACCAAGTTGTCTTGTTCGTCAAACAATAAATTAGAGAGTTTCACAGTCAAATAATGGCAAAACTATACATTTTTCATGAATATTTTTTAAAGTATTTAAAAAAACCTTTCTTCTTCTTTTAAAAAAACAAACTTTAGCATAAAAGGTAAATGAGTTACGATAAAAATAAGGCAAAAGGGGGGGGGGGCTGAATTTAAGTAGACTCGGCCACCACCCTCATAGATTCCTAGTGATTTAAGCGAGCTATAAAATTGTATGCTTGCGATATGAAAAGCTCAGTACCATAATGCACACTGCACCCCCTTCTAATCAAGTAGTAGACTGCTCTAACCGACAGAACCGCAGCAGCTTCATGTTGCTTAGTAACTGTAAAAGGTAAATTACACGGCCCTAATTTTGAAGCTTGTAACCATTACATTAGAAGGTATAGCCCTTTCCTTTTTTCTTCGTCAATTTTAGGCAATTTTTATTTACAGACAAGACAAGACGTGTCATGCGAGATATTGAGATTTTCGAGTCGGGTCGGGAGTGATGGATACTTCAGTAGAGGCAAAGAAACGGAAATCACAGTCAAATATGTCCCCCTCGGTGGTGATATGGTTGGTTATGAGTGGTATGTTTCGAGTGGACCACCCTCTATATAAGGAGTTTAATAGGTATGTGCATCTGTTTGTGTTTACTTAATCACTTTGTTACGAATCCTTAATCATTTGCGAATGAATCGCCAGTGGTTGCGGTTGTATGTGCTCCGTTCGTTTAAAACGCGTTGACATTCCACGTGGTAAGGTAATGTTTTTATTACCTTTATTTAGGTAGTAGTAGCAACCTCTTTTTATGCAAATACATCTACTAGAGGTACATTTGGACTCGTAAACCTTTGTTTTGAGGAGAGCAGGGGCTCACTTTTTTTTATAGGTTCTCCAAATTGAATTAAATTGACTATTACCTATGGAAATTATAAATGCAAAACTTTTTTTATATGTAGGTAAACTTGAAGTGTTTTTGTACTCAGTGTAAGTTGTATGTACCTACCTACTGCTCATCGCCTGAAATTCCTCTTAAACTAAACAAGTTGTAAATCAGCATATGCATGATTAAAGCGCATTTTTGGTAATGCAGGTCAGTATTTTATTAGCGAAGTTTAAAATTATCGATCTCACGAGTAATTTTGCCTGCGTTAAATAATTAATTTTATTTAATTTCAATTGACGGTACGTCTTCATTTTGTAAAACAAATCACAAAGTAAATAATAAGTTTTTATACTGGTAGCGCTATCTAACGGTAAAATTATAGCACCTCCGAAACCCATATCGAATTTATTTTCATCAATTATCGATCTCACAAGTAATCTAACTCAAAATAGACTAGTGCCTGCACATCTACACTATAACAGAAAGCTTTTAGTGAAAATTTGAATTCTCTAGCTATTGTAGTTGTGGAGATCTAACGCGGACAGCCGGCCTGCCAGCCATAACGAATATAATAGCGTATTTTTTTCAAAAATGCGCTAAAAAACGCGTGTGCCATAAATTAATATGTATACAACGTTATTGGAAAGGAAACCAAAAAATAATTTATGGTCCATTTATTCACAAAATAAAGCATAATTAATTGGGCCAAATTTAATATCACATTGGCATTTTATTCCATTGTATTATAATCATAATAATCAAACGTATTCTTTCCGCAAATTTGGAACTGGTTTGTTGCATGGACATTTTTGCTTGACTTTCACCACAAAGTGAACGTTACCAGGTTGGGAGAAAAAGTTACTGTAGCATTGCACGAATATATTTTCATATTTTATGTGTTAAATTAGAAAATAATGGAGAGAGAGAAATTTGGTTTTTTGCCCATAACTTTTGATTGAAAGGTTTAATCGAAAAAATACGATTCGTTTTGGATTCTACGCACCAAAATTAATAAGAAAATGTGTTTTCCCGAGAAATTTTGGTGTAGTCGATTTTTGGTAAAAAAAGGAAGGTAATAACTGCCTTTTTTTGAGGCCCGAAGAAAAAATTTTCTCAGATCGATCGGGAAAAAACATTTTCTTATAGATTTGGGCCTGTAGATTCTACAAATTCAAACAGTTTGAAGATTGGGTCACTGGATCAAAAGTTACAGCCCTTTGAATTTTTATGCGAATTTGGTTTTTTGCCCATAACTTTTGATTGAAAGGTTTAATCGAAAAAATACGATTCGTTTCGGATTCTACGCACCAAAATTAATAAGAAAATGTGTTTTCCCGAGAAATTTTGGTGTAGTCGATTTTTGGTAAAAAAGGAAGGTTGTACACTGCCTTTTTTTGAGGCCCGAAGAAAAAATTGTCTCAGATCGATCGGGAAAAAACATTTTCTTATAGATTTGGGCCTGTAGATTCTACAATTTCAAACAGTTTGAAGATTGGGTCACTAGTTCAAAAGTTACAGCCCTTTGAATTTTTATGCGAAGTTGGTTTTTTGCCCATAACTTTTAATTGAAAGGTTTAATCGAAAAAATACGATTCGTTTTGGATTCTACGCACCAAAATTAATAAGAAAATGTGTTTTCCCGAGAAATTTTGGTGTAGTCTATTTTTGGTAAAAAAGGAAGGTTATACACTGCCTTTTTTTGAGGCCCGAAGAAAAATTGTCTCGGATCGACCGGAAAAAAACATTTTCTTATAGAATGTGGCCTGTAGATTCTACAATTTCAAAGAGTTTGAAGATTGGGTCACTGGTTCAAAAGTTACAGCCCTTTGAATTTTTATGCGAAGTTGGTTTTTGCCCATAACTTTTGATTGAAAGGTTTAATCGAAAAAATACAATTCGTTTTGGATTCTACGCACCAAAATTAATAAGAAAATGTATTTTCCCGAGAAATTTTGGTGTAGTCAATTTTTGGTAAAAAAGGAAGGTTGTACACTGCCTTTTTTTGAGGCCCGAAGAAATAATTGTCTCAGATCGATCTGGACAAAACATTTCCTTATAGAATGTGGCCTGTAGAATCCATAATTTCAAACAGTTCCAAGATTGGGCTACTAGATCAAAAGTTACATCCCTTTGAATTTTCATGCGAAGTTGGTTTTTTTTGCCCATAACTTTTGATTGAAAGATTGAAAATCGAAAAAATACGATTCGTTTAGCCTATAACTTTTGATTGAGAATTCTGATCGAAAAAGTACGAATTGTTTTGGATTCTACGCACCAAAATTAATAAGAAAATGTGTTTTCCCGAAAATTGTTGGTGTGGTCGTTTTTCGGTCAAAAGCAGGGTCAAAAGCAAGACAACTTTACGGTTAAAATATACTTGCAAAGATTCTAATTCGATTTCACTTTTCAGCGTCTCGGGCAGTACCTACCTAATCGCTACTCATCCGAACCGACAATTCCCAAACTAATGCGAAGACCGAATATTCTTCGACAGAGCAAGGTAGCTACGGACGAAGAAAACGTGGTGTTTCGCTAGTAACTTCTGCCAACTGAACTAAAATGGCCCACACTTTTTATTGGTGCATCGTTGATGTTTGGAATCATAGGGAGCGAAACAAATTTTTTGCGACAAGATGGGTAACAAGTTATTTATTTTTCTAATTATCACTGTCACAAAAATATCTAAAAGAAACGTATTTCATGTGGTTTGACTTCTCTATTGTGAGTAAAATTTCGCATGCACTTTGTTGGGCAACTTTAGTGCACCACCACCTGGTTGTACAGTCAACCAGAAACAACCGAGTGACGGTGAAACCAAATGGTTGAGGGTGATCGGTGAAAAGGGGCCTAAAAAAGCTTTTTAAAAGATCTTAAAAACGAATCAACAAAGTTACCAAGAAATTTAAAATGTTTCAAAAAAGGATTTTGAGTCGAGAAAGTTTTTTGAAATCTTTTTTGAATTTTTCAAGAAATTTCAAAAAAGTTTTTTGAATCAAGAAAGTTTTTTGAAATCTTTTTTGAATTTTTCAAGAAATTTCAAAAAAGTTTTTTGAATCAAGAAAGTTTTTTGAAATCTTTTTTGAATTTTTCAAGAAATTTCAAAAAAGTTTTTTCAAGAATCAAGAAAGTTTTTTGAAATCTTTTTTGAATTTTTCAAGAATCAAGAAAGTTTTTTGAAATCTTTTTTGAATTTTTCAAGAAATTTCAAAAAAGTTTTTTGAATCAAGAAAGTTTTTTGAAAATTTTTCAAGAAATTTCAAAAAAGTTTTTTGAATCAAGAAAGTTTTTTGAAATCTTTTTTGAATTTTTCAAGAATCAAAAAAGTTTTTTGAAATCTTTTTTGAATTTTTCAAGAATCAAGAAAGTTTTTTGAAATCTTTTTTGAATTTTTCAAGAATCAAGAAAGTTTTTTGAAATCTTTTTTGAATTTTTCAAGAAATTTCAAAAAATTTAAAAATTTCAAAAAAGTTTTTTGAAATCTTTTTTGAATTTTTCAAGAATCAAAAAAGTTTTTTGAAATTTTTTTTGAATTTTTCAAGAATCAAGAAAGTTTTTTGAAATCTTTTTTGAATTTTTCAAGAATCGATAGTTTTTTTAAATCTTTTTTGAATTTTTCAAGAAATTTCAAAAAATTTAAAATATTTCAAAAAAGTTTTTTTGAATCAAGAAAGTTTTTTGAAATATTTCAAAAAATTTAAAATATTTCAAAAAAGTTTTTTGAATCAAGAAAGTTTTTTGAAATCTTTTTTGAATTTTTCAAGAAATTAAAATATTTCAAAAAAGTTTTTTGAATCAAGAAAGTTTTTTGAAATCTTTTTTGAATTTTTCAAGAAATTTCAAAAAATTTAAAATATTTCAAAAGTCAAGAAAGTTTTTTGAAATCTTTTTTGAATTTTTCAAGAAATTTCAAAAAATTTAAAATATTTCAAAAAAGTTTTTTGAAATCTTTTTTGAATTTTTCAAGAACTCACAAAGCTTTTTGAATCAAAAGTTTCAAGAAATGTTTGAATCAAAAAATTTACTTCAATTATTTAAATAAAATTCAAAAAAACAAATAATTTTATTGTAAAATTCTAATTAATTTTGTATTGGATTTTATTGAAACTTTTTGAGATCTCTGGGATCTCGGGTTTTGACCGTTGACCCCGACCATCTCCTCAACCTGATACCACCAATCTTGCAGGATGGCTAGTGCTTTTAGCACCATTGACAAACAAACTTAGGCGTTTTCCAACATTTCTGATCGACTTGTATTTTCCAGATTTCTGCAAATGGAAATGGAAACGCGGTTCCCTTACTGCACCGTTCGCTGTAGCCTTCCACGAGGGTGATTCTAGAACAATAAAATAATTGTTGTTACATGTTAAATTATAAATTGTGATTTAACTTTTATTAATAAATTTACTCACCGTCATAACTGTATTTATTCGGCCTAACAGGGCCATAGGGTCATTTGGTTGTAGTCGATAATACTCAAACTCTGGCTTTCCGCCCTGAAAAAAGTGGTACAAGTAGTAAAAAAAAAAACATCACCGTTCAAAGTAAATCATCGGATGCACCCATGCTTTTCTCAAATTGGGTTGGAATATTAAGAACACACGATGTTGTCTTCCCCAATTAAATTTATATTTCTGCTATAGTATTACTGTTGTTGCAGGTTAAGATGTACAATGTTAATTTAATCTTAATCTGCAACAACTGTAGTACCATAGCATCAGAAATATAAATTTAATTGGGGAAGACAACATCGTGTATTTTTCAAAATAGTTTTATCCCAACTAAACATGAATTCATCCAATGCATTTTCAGCATAAGCGCTAACTTACCAGTTACATCAGTTTGATCTTGAGTAGTTAAAAGCGTTGTTGGGCCAATTCCATTTTGAATTTGGAGCTACATATGAATCCGCCGAACTGGGTACCACATCTTCTAACGACTGGAAAGTGGCACATCTCGGACAGCATTGCGATCACGTCCACAATACCAACAGAACTGAAACGACAGTAAAAAAATCCATCAGAAGCAATTTTTTGACGTACCCGTGTATTCCGTTCCAAAGCGTCGTCAATTTCGCATGTGAAAACGTGATGAACTTTCCCATGGCAAATCGAAAATCTTGGATAGCGATTATCCGCTGGCTCCATCTTCAGAAAATCGTTGGCAATCAAAATGAATTGGCCCAAAAAATCCACGAGAAGCAACGGAAGTGAACGAGGTGTTAGCCAGCTTCATTTTAAATTAGGAACCCCTTAAGAAAACATGATAACTTCCCCTAATGAGTAGAGAGTGACATCTCACCTAGGACAGCATTGAGATTATTCGATGATCGACCTTTCCATCCCCAGGAAATTGTTGGCGGTCGAAGTGCAGCAATACTTAGAGGTGGGTATCCATGTATTTCGTTCCAAGGTGGGGTTGGCCAGTGGTACATCTTGGACAGAATCCCGATCACTAAGATGGCGTACACCCCCATTGTCAAAAAATCGTCGACTCCCTCCACTCCTTTCCAAAATTCCAATTGAAACGTACCCTTTCCATCGGGAAACATAAAAGGGGTTTCACACGAACCAAGTATACGTAGGTACAACTGCATTTAAATGGTGTACCTACTTTATGATTAAACAACATTATATCTGCAAATTGCAATAAATTATTAAGAGTGAAATTACTCCATAGCAGTGTTTTTCTACGATTAGATACATTTAAACTTAATACACATTTCATCTATTTATGTTCAATAAATACACATTGCCGCAGGTTTATTTTCTAGAAGATGAATGTAAAAACACGCCTGGATGCCTAAATTTCAAATCTGTTTGTTGTATATTAGTCCTCTGCTGCTACTATGACGGGATGATTTTCATCCTTAGCACCTTTGATTGAAAAGAGAGTCCAGCGACTTTTTAAGAAAATAAGGTAAGTATCTGATCGTGTATGGTCTATTACAAAGATCTAAATCCTCAAATTTGACAAATACACATAAATTTGGTAACTAATGGACCTATGAATTTGTCAGATTTATTGAAATTGTGAATTAAACTCTATGGCATAAAAATCTAATTCTTATATCCAGTCCAAATTCAAATAAGTTGGTAAATATACAGGTGACATTTATTATACAAAACAATCAAATGGTTTCATTCTTTATAATTGCATTAACTAAGTTTTATTATGCAAAAATGGTTCTTCTAGTAAATAAATAATTGGAATCTAGAGCATCGAATAGCTACTTTTTAATTATATGGCAACTGCAGATGGTAAAATCGAAAAAGAACCTTTTATTTTGATAACCTTGTGTGTGGTTCAGGGATTTGTTTCAATACCCCAATATTGAGGTGGGTAATATCTGCTCGGCCATTTGACTCTATTGAACTCCTGAGCAATTATCCAAATTCTGGGAATTAGAAAGTTACCCTCTGAAACCTCTGAAAAAGTACACCCCACTGAAGAGACCCACTTTATAAAAACCGCCTCACGAGATGAAAACGGAAGATTTATTGTCGACTTACCTTTAAAGGCCTCTGCCGATACCCTTTGGGATTCATCATCATGTTGGAGCGCTATGCTGCATTTATGAAGGAATATCGAAATCTTCAGTCGCATTTTTAACGGCAGTTCCATATAATGGAGTGATGAAGTGAGTCAAGCCTTGCCACCAAAGGTCGAGTTAAGCGACTACGTCGGGCCGGTCTGTCAATGATGGTTAAATGGTTGGGTCAACTATTAATACAACAGGATTTCTTTTCCATTTTGGTGAGGTTTCGAAACTATACCTTTGGCATTTCCGCTTCCTTTGATATGTGGGACGTGGTCTGCTTAATTTTTCACCATCCGATGTCTATGTCAACTAGGAACAGACGTCGAAAAATTCAATTCCACAACGTCAAGCAGTCCGACTTCTATGTCGATGGCCTCCTAATTGGGGCCGATGATTTCTTGCAAGCCCAAGAACTCGCATCAAACGTCTCAGGTACCCTTCGTAAAGGCTGTTCAGATTCGTAAGTGGATTTTCAGCTCACGTGCCCGAGGAGGACATTCATCCAGATTTTGTGGAGGTGGGATCTCATGACCACACCACCACACTAGGCCCAATTTGGAGTTTTCATACTGATAGTTTTACCTTTACCATTCCACCAGTTCCCACAAGAAGGATAACAAAACGCATTATTCTTACCCAATTTGGTCAAGTTTGTGACCCACTTGAGCTCAACCAGTGCACAATTTTGCCTGGAGAAATTATGGTGGGATGATCCGATACCACAGCCGCTCTTAGTGAAGTGATCCTCTTCTTATAAGAGCTAATTAACACAGCTCAGTAACCTCCAAAATATCCAGACACGCCATATCTAGTTAACATTCAGCTGCATGGGTTTTGTGATGCCTCTATCAGCGCATACCACATACTTTAATATAAGCGACAGATGCTCCAATACGTCTCCGTTGGAAGAGTTGTCTAATTTTTGAAAGTCGTATCGCTGGGCCACTGATCGCCCTTGAAATTCGCACAGCTCTCTTATGCCTGATAAAATCTTCTTTGGTGAAGAAGATATAAACCTTCTATAATAAGTCTAAACCCCTTTCTGAATTCAGACGGTGTCCTACGTGCTGATGGCAGACTTCGGAAATCGAATTATCAATTTGATAAGGCTCACCCTATTGTCCTCTCAACCGTTTTCCCCCTTATCAAGCGACCCCTCACGTCGGCAGCCCGGCGCACATTCTGATTGGAATACCACTGAATTCACTGACAGATCCAAATGTCACCAGCATACCAATTTTTCGGCTGCTTCAACAACTTCAACGCCTGTGGAAGAGATTGAGTAAGGAATATGAAGAGATGCAGCAACACACAACTTCTGTATAGTGGTCGCCTACGTCCGACCTCAGAAATGGAACATTGGTGCTCCTGAAAGAAGATAACCAGCCGCCGCTACATTGGAAGCTGGACCGAGTTGTAGCCGTTCCTCCTAGAGCTGCATCTGAGAAACCATAAATGGAGTGGTGAAACGTGAAGCTTCCCGAAAAATACACAGATTCGGTTTTTAACGACTGAACAGTCCACGCCTTTTGTATATTCAATGTAATGTTAATTCTTTGGTGTCAATTAAATTTCATAAACCTATCATTGGCTACATTTTTGATATTTGGTTAAGACGCCCCGAATTTCTACAGTATCGCGAATAATTATATTGGGATTGTGGACCCCACGACTTCAATAAGTTGCCACTACAAAGTTTATCTGATTAATTTTCTTTGGAATTTTTCACTTCTTCTAATGGAAATTTTTCAACGATTTCCGAAAGCACTTTCTTTGCTTTTAACTAATACCAAAAAGTCAGCTGCTTCTGGTAGCTGTGACGCTCAGAGCTTAATTAATTCATTTTTTAATCGTCCCCAATTATTTTCCCTCTAGTCAAAATCTACAAAAATGGCAGATTGCGACGTAAAATGGAGACCTACAATAATCCAGATAAATTCTTTACATTAACATGACCAAAATTTGTTTGGAAAGGCACTTTAGAACCTCGACATATTTTACGGTTTTAAAAATTCTAATTTATTAATTTTCTTCGAGAAAATCGAACCCAGCGCCCGTTACAATCGGCACACGTAAACTTGCATCGCTAGTCTAGTAAAAATAAGGATGGACTACTAAAGCTGTAATTACACGAGAAAGGATCTTCCGGGCAAATAAGGCTCTAGACCCGAATCCATTCTTTTCAGCCACAAAGTGCAAAGAATGCGTAGTACGGACCTGCTTAATCTTGTTGCTCAATTAGAACTCGGCTAATAACGGTCATCTTCTTCATTGGAAGTGGCTAAGCTAGTAGAGGGTTTCCATCGAACCTAGGTATATTTCACATGGTAAACTTTTAGGGATTAGCCATTTTGGACCAAATTACACTCTCCTATTCAGAACTAAGGTGGATTGATTTATTTGGGAAAAAATAAATAAAAGCTTCCCCATGTCCATCACCCAATTTTTGGTAAGAGTAAGAAAAACTTACCCTTTCCACGTGAAATATAAACACGCAACGGAGCACATACATACAACCGCACCTACCGCGGTTCATTCGCAAATGACTTGCTTTTAGGAATACACAAAATCATGACTGCGATATAGATAAACAGAAACAGATCCGGGCCACCTATCCACTTGCATATTAACGCAATCTTTATATACAGCGTGGCGCATCTGAAACTAATCGCGTAAAAATTGCACCAATTTTTTCACGGGATAATGAATAAATGCGACATCATCGGCAATTAAAAGAAATGACTTTTTAAACGCAACCCCAAAAGACGGCCGACTCCTATATAATACAAAAAAATTAAAATAACTTACTTTTCTCGATGCGTTGAAATTTTCCCCCACTGATGTCAGGTGGATTTCTCTTTTGGAAAGGAGGAAAGCAACAGCAATTTGGAAAATTGGATAGTGGAACGTCTTAGGCAATAAAAATGGACCTCGTGTATTACCAGTTGAAGATGATTGACGCAATTTGATTCACGAATACACCGTGCTTTAGGCTTATAATTTGATTCAATTAGTTGAAATTTGATTTATTCACAGTAATAAATTACAGATGTTCTGTAATGTATTAATGTCAAAAATGTACCCTTGTAACGGCAAACAAATGCTTGAATTAATTTTATTAAACCTTTTTACCGGTAGCCGTTTTGGTTCGTAATGTTTTTGGCACTTTATATATCAAATTGGATGCACAGTTTCGATTAATAAATTAGTTTATTATGTAACTTGCATCTACAAATCTGGCGCAATGGAATGTTTTGCATCTTGGACCCCAAACATTCAAAATCAAAAAGTTGCCTCACGTATTAAAATGATTACTCATAGCAATATTCGCGGTGAATATTATATCAGCCATTCGATACTCTCTTCCACGCAATTAAGCTCTCTTTCTGCATACAAAACGACCTCCCTTTTTCGAAACGTAACTCTCGTGAAAATTTTGCCCTCTTAACCAACCAAATCCCGTATTTTCGTAACTCGACTTTTCGCAAAACGTGACGAAACTTTTGAGCTCTTTGAGATTTTGGCAACCTTGGTGGCAACCCTGCGGCATTTCGACTCTTATTTGTAAGAACTGAATTGTAAAAATGATGGTCATTTTGAATTCTACAGGCTAAAATAAATTTCCAAAAAATGGCTTGAAAGCTGTACAAAATTCCGATCGTTTTGGAATTTACAGCACTTATACGAAATTGTTTCTTTTCCAGTCGATGTAACATAGGAGGACTGTTTTCCTTCCTTCTTTCGATCTAAAACAATTCAGGTTTTTTGTTAAAGGGGTCCTTGGCAAATCTGACCCTTCTAATTCTAATACATACATGCCAGATTAGGGAGATCACTGGTGTCCTATCACCTGCGTAACGTTGGGCTTGTAGGAGAACTGACGGGTAGGTTTTCTGACGAGGCATTTGAAACTACCGAGCATGTGGTCTGCCACTGTGACGCCTTGATCAGAGACAACTCCTTGGCAACGGTTATCTGGAACCGGGGAGGGCTTGGTTAAGTGCTGTTGGTCCGGAACATCTAATTCTTGTCTGGTAAAAAAGCAAGACTATAGAATCGGTCGAAAAAGACTTGTCCCAGGAAATATGACTCTTCCATTCCTGTTTAGAAACGAATGTTTATAAGTAAATTATAGATTAAGGCTTAAAATAATAATTGTATTGGAGGTTCACCACTTGGTTGTAATATAGTTGTCACCCCAGCACACGTCGCGCACCACAAAGTAGGGAGACGTGAACGAGTTGCGATTATTACTTTCTGTACGATTTCAGTTAATTAAACTCGAGTTGTAATTCATATACTCAGTTTCGTGTGCTTTACAACTTTCGGTATTAATCGAGTTCACGACCTTATACAGTTTAAGATCCCTTTTAGTTGACGAAAGAGCCTTTCTTTGTTATGTGAAAAACGATTTCGCTCATTTTATATCAAAAACGTGGGGTAGTTGCGAGATTGGAGAGTTGGTAATCGTCTGTCGACACCTTTGGGAATATACGTTCGAGTTATAAAGGACATAATTCCATATGCTATTTGTTTTATTTGTTAAACAAGTGCCCATAATTGTTTACCTTGCGTACTCACGTACACGTGCAGAAATCCTTGCAACATGTTTGCCAATAAAATGAAAAGCAAATACCATTACCCTTACCCTTACTCAATCATCAATTTATAATTATTGGAAAAGCGTGACCTCACTTGTCTTGTGAGATTTACCGAATTTGCATAATTTAAAACAGATCGGGATTTAATAGCAATTAACGCTTTCCTTTTCAGTAAGTAACTGGGAAAATTCCCCCAGCACACATTTTGCACCGAAAAAGAGAGATTTCAGTGTATGAAATTTGAGCCGACCTAAATCGCTGAGTTTCGCCCACGAGTACCATAAAAATCTTGTGTGGCAAATTCCTTTCACTGCAAACCAGCTCTAGAATTCTGATTATCTGCAGCAACATCACTACATCATACTAACGGAGGGAAGTTTTAAGATATAAATCTGAGCTTTTAGCGCCACGCTTACAAATAGCACAAATTTAAAATCTCTGCGCACAGAGAAATTTCCTTCATTTTATTTGGGTTCATATCTCGTTTATAGTTTTTTAAATCAATCAAATTTTTACTGCGAAAGCTTTCACATTTACTTAGTTTTAAAACCTCATTCACCAGCCCTTTTTCCCCTTATTCCATACGGTGATCTAATAGCCAATTATGGGTTGTTTCTTTCAAGACAGGGTTGGGAAATTAACAACTTTCACGAGATTAGAAATATGTAAACCACGTTCGTTACAGGAATACAAATTACTCGATCCGGAGCGTATAATAAAATTAGTTTTGTGTAGTTACGCCTTTTTTTGTGATCAAGTTGGTAATCTCTAAATCCGGGCACGTAGGTCGCTTCGTCGCTTTTTATGAAGAGAACATAACGGCGATGTGTTAATAATTTACAATGTGTTCCCCCCATAAAAGTGGAAACGCTAAGGGACTTAATTGATATTTCACACAAGAGCTCTCAAAGTATTTCTACAGTGGAGGTATTTAGTTTTGGTAATGTGTAGTGTTTTTGGAAGCACGCCGTCTACTAAAAAGGACGTAATAATTACAGTTCTACATATTTTGGCGGTGGACTGCGCGAGAGAACGAAAGGATAATAGAAGACATATCTTATTAAGTACACGTAATTGATCCGTATAATAACAAAAGGAAACGGGACTCGATAAAGAGAAAATCACGAAAACATCTCCCTGAAACGTGAAACAAAAAACTCGATCTTGCGTTTCACTGCAGTCTTTTAAAATAAAGGCAAGTCGAAGCAAAACGTGAACTAAAACCTAAAATACTCTGGGGTTGTAAGTTTGTTACTAAAAAGGAAAAGGGCTAATATTTGTCAAAGGTAGGGTATAATAGTCGTACTTTCAAGTAAAGTATTGCTCGAGATAAATTCATGGAAGCCAGAATCGATTCATGACGAAGCAAAACCATAGTACAGATCGAGCTAAGAACTGAGGATTTAATTCAGATTTACTGATGTCCGCGACCGACGAAGAAAAATGTAAAATTTCGGCCTGTTTGATGGATTTATTAATTATGTAACGACTTACGTTGCTTTTCACCAGAAAAGCTGAAATTTATTTACTGTCGTAGCTGATAATCCTCCCTTCAAACTAATTTACGTCTCTTCCTTGAAAGAAATTAGAGATTTTTTAAATTATGCTTTAAAATTGTTGTTTGTTGCATATCTCTCCTTTCCTAAGTCTCTGAAACTCTTGAAGTTTGTTTTTCTGAAAATTACTTGCTTGCAAAGTTGCACGCCAAGTGACCATAAAATTTCGTATACAGGCTGATTCAAATTCGAGGGCCACCATGGGGATCTCAGGAACTGTAAGAGAGAGATAGGTAGGTAGTTTAAATTTGGCAAAGTTGCCTATTTTGATGAATAACAAAATGCTGTTTTGTAACTGAAAAAATTCCGACTACTTTCGGAGATATCCGGAAAAACGAAATCTTGCAAAATCGTTTTAAAAAGATATTTCGAAATAAATGACACATTATTATTGCAACTTTTAATTTTAAGTTTGACGTTTCATCTCCAGTCAACCATCATCAATTTTGTTTTTTCTTATGGAAGTCATTTATACTTTTTGTGTCATTTGATAAGGAATTTTTTTGTGATTTAAAAAATGTAAACATCTTTTAATCAGAAATAGCGCTAATTTATTCGTAAGAACGCAAGAAACTACGTACGTACATTACCCAAGCAAAGTTTTATAGTAAAAAAAGAAGATATTTGTGAAGTTTTCGTGAAAGTGTAATTCCTTAGGAATTGCGTTTCCTTGAATCCAACATAATTTGGATATTGCTTGGGCAGACTTTGAGTACGTTTATTTTAGAGTATGTTTATTTCTTGAGGTCTCTTGAATTGGTTTATTTGTCCGTTCTGTGAACGGGTTGTGTACAAAAAGGCTTTACGTCGTCTTAGAATTGTTATTACAGGGCTTTGTTCTTTGTGTTGGGACCCAGTCGTGTCCTGACTAATTTTAAAAATTAAACGATTTTTAGAACATTTTTTTAGCTTAATATTACTTCGTCTATCCATAAAGAATATATAATTCCCCACAATTTGAGCAAAAGGTTTAAAAATCATATGAGTTTCATTCAAAGAATGCAGCCGTCGGTTTTAATTTCTCCTAATCTTTTAAGATCTTCGCTATCTAAAAGTGCGCTGAATTTATCTTACCAATTTAATACGTGGAAATCTATTCAATTCACGTAAAACGTATAATTCTGTTTGAACTTTAAATCCTTTTCTGCAAATCCTTAAAATGTTCGTTAGCGGGATTAGATTTGAAGCGCCACTGTCAATTAAACTTTTTAAATTGGGACTGGAGTGGCTTTTGTGTTCAATTCTTTCCGATAGACCTCTTGAACTTAAAAAATTAAGTCTCAAATACAATATTACAGCGAAAATTTGATTTGATTTGATTCACAAGGTCTGTTGTTTGTGGTTATCGCAATCTCTTATTTTAATTAAACATTCATGAAGTGGAAGAACGATCTGATGCATAAGAAATGAACGATATGGATTATCCGGATTAATTTCTTTATAATTCATACTTCTTGCTTGAATTTTTTATAATTTCTCGTTTTAACGAGAAACGATAACGTTCATAAATACTTGTAATTGGTATTATACGAAAGAGAAAATAGAAAGCCAGCAAGATTGTAGGCCTACAATCGTCAAGAACAAACAGCTGCATTATTTATTACATTTCCACAACGGTCTAAGTGTTATTGGTACTTCAATTAGAGAATAACCTTTATCAAGGTATCACATCATTCATTCATCATTAGTTAAATGAAAAGCAGTGAAATAATTACACATTACTGGCACGATAGCACCTTTCCGAATTTAGGAACAATAAGTGTGATGACACATACCTCGTAGAAAGGGTGCGTGATATAATTGCATGGATTATTCAATGCGCCCTTTCAGTTTTCAGTTTTATACGACCGGTTATCCTAGAGATTGGCACACACTTCGATATTTTAAGTAAGACCCCCCTCCCCCACTTTTGGAGAAGTTTATATCAGCTGTTTTAGGGTTTGAGGTCCAGAGAACAATAAAATTAGCCATTACGACGCCGACGGTCAAAATTCCGAAGGGCTCCCAAAACTATTTTCTTTTCTGTTTTTTAATAGAACATTATGGCACGATTGAACACGATTTCTAAGATTTTGTAAAAAAATTCCAAGCGATTTACACTCAAAAGACAATGATCTGATCAAAATTCGGCATTTTAGGACTTTTGACTATGAAAATTTCCAAAAAAATTGCAATAATTCACAGGTATATTCGTGAGATCCTTCATATTACTTTATAAAACTTGTTTAAATATTTTTCAGATACTATTTGGGTCCTGATGCATGCTTGTCGAATGTATTACATAATATGTTTCAGAGACTCTTCAGACGTACTTCAAAGGGTTTTCCCTTCATTCAAATACCTGTGAGGTAATTTCTGGAAAAAGTGTGGTGCGATTTTTTAAGGGCTGTTTAACAATCATTCCTGATTCAGTAAAAGTTTTTGAATAAATTTTGTACAAAATTTGACGATTTTCTAGAGACGATTCAATACGGCGGGACACCGACCAGCACAAATGCGTTTGAGAAACCCATAAGAACCTTTAAATTTTTTTGAATTTGAATTTTTAATGTACGCCAAGAATTTTTTGAGAACACTTAAAGGCAAAAAATCACAGTTTCAGAGAAGCAAAAAAAAATTAGTAAAGAAAAAGTTATTCGATCGCAAATAATAATTCATTTAATGTTTCAGTTCATCATTTCAAAAGTTTCAACCCTTTATTGTAACAAATACCGTTGCCGTCTAAGGGAGAGTTCTACCTAAACAACCCGAACAAGAAATAGTAATGCTTTTGACTATGTTTACCTAAGGAATAAGCGACAGGTTGAAAATTATTTTTAACGAGATTTAACGAAATGTTTGCTTCAAAATTTAGGGTTCTCATAAATTGGTACTGTCCAATTTACTAACAACTACGAAAAACATTTCACTTTTGGTATATTGAAATAAAATAAGCAAGAACATGGAAATTAAATGGACAATTTCTGGGATTACAATAATTTTTTTGTGAATAGATGGTTCTACCTGAAAAACCCTAGTAACGTGATAATCATAATCCCAAATATGGCAGTGTAGCTTCTTTGACTATTTTCACTTGGGCAAAAAC